TCGCCAACACTTGCTGTTTTTTGATTTATTGATGATAGCCATTCTGACAGGTGTGAGGTGATACCTCATTGTGGTTTTAATTTGCATTTCTCTGATGATTAGTGACCTTGAGCATCTTTTCATATGTCTGTTAGCCATCTGTATTTCCTCTTTGGAGAAGTGTCTGTTCAGGTCTTCTGCCCATTTTTGAATTGGATTACTTTTTTGTTGTTGAGTTGTGTAAGCTCTTTATAAATTTTAGATATTAACTTTTATCAGATGAATCATTAACGAATATCTTCTCCCAAACAGTCGGTTGTCTTTTTGTTTTGTTGATGGTTTCCTTTGCTGTACAAAAACTTTTTAGTTTGATGTAGTCCCATTTGTTTACTTTTTCTTTTGTTTCCCTTGCTCAAGGAGATATATCTGAAAAGAAATTCCCGTTAGCAATTTCAGAGTTTGCTGCCTATGTTAGCAATTTCAGATATTAGCAATTTCAAGGAGATATATCTGAAAAGAAATTCCTGTTAGCAATTTCAGAGTTTGCTGCCTATGTTTTTTTCTAAAAGTTTTATTGTTTCAGGTCTTACATTTAAGGCTTTAATCCATTTTGAGTCTGTTCTTGCATACAGTTTAAGAAGATGGTCCAGCTTCTTTTTTTTGCATGTATCTGCCCAATTTTCCCAATACCATTTATTTAAGAGACTGTCTTTACCCCATTTTATATTCTTACCTCCTTTGTCATATATTAAGTGAGTATATAGGCATGGATTTATTTCTGGGCTCTTTACTCTGTTCCTGATCTTTTGCAGAAAAGATTTCTGAGCCATACAACTTACAATTATTATTTTCTAGATAGAAGTGCCAACTGTTGTGCTTTCCAATGTATTATTAGTGGTTGCCACGTTCTCCTTGTCTTCAGGTTTTATGGCATAAAACAGAAGTACTTCTTTGATGTTACTGGAGTCTGTGAGAAGCACGGTGATGCAGTTGATGCCCACACCACAGCCATCTGTGGGTATTCTATGATGGTATAAAACTTTTCATCTATGAACATGGCCTCCTTATCATCAGAGGTTTTGGCCTGTTCTTTAAAAAGCTGCTTGCTGCTTCACAGAACTATTTTCCTTACTTTAGGCACTGCACACTTCCTCCTTCAAGACAAAAAGCTCAAAGTGCTCAGTGAGACCCAGAGTGGTCCATTTGGCCAAAGATCTCATTATCTGTGGGTGATCACAGATGAATGTGGGATTGCTGCAAGTCACTTTCGTAAACTCTCTGAGCTTATCAAAGAGTCCGGCTATGGTCTGAGATAGAGGACATTCAATAGCTTTTGCTGCACAAATATTAAGAATTTTTTAAGTTTCTTCAGTTCTGAAGAGGTTAGCTTCTGACAGCTTCTGGTGCATTAGTTTTTCCCACGTCTTTCTCTAGTTCTTCTACCATGCTGACTCTCAGGAGGGCTGGGATGAGGTGAATCTCAGATGTGGCCTTCTGGATCACCTAGATGGTAAGTGATCTTGTGACTGTCTGTAATATGCTTCACTATCCCTGATATAATCTCTAGGATTTCATGAGATCATAATAATCAGCAGAGGCCACATAAGACTCACACGTAGTAAAGTCAAGTCATTTGTAATTGGCAACCAGTTTCACAAACCTGGACAATGCCACTGTCCACCACCAGCATCTTATGGTAGAGTTCTAGGGAAATTCTTATATATAAATTCATGTCCAGTTTGTTGTGGTAGGCGATGACAAATGTGGCCATAGCTCCCCTTGAGATAAAGTTCGTCGTAGGAATTTCAATGTCTGGAATCCCAACTTAACCAAGAAACTTCTTATATATGTGATTTTCTTAGTGTGGATGACAAATTTCTTCTTCACAAAGTCATTCAGATTCAAGCCCAAGTATTTCCAATGATATTGTGTTTCCTTGTCTTTGAAGCCAAACTGAGAATGAGGTGACATATGTGAGCGAGGACGCAGCAGTGTGATTTTGTGGAGAATGATGCTCAGCAAATCCTTCTTGGTTTGTCTAGGATTTTCCTGAACTCCAATTATGTCTCCCTGAAGCAGTTTTCAATATGAATAAATTCTTCTTCTGATTTAAATTCCATGAAGTGGCCATGACTTGCAACTTGACCTGTTCCAGAAGGGCAGCTGCCCCCAGCTCTTCTGTCATAGATCCTACTCGCTGGCGTTAAGGCGATGTTGGTGAGGTGGTCTCCAGGGTGCAGGGAGTGAGCAGGGGTCCACGTGGAGCCTGCGTGTTGCAAGTCTTACCAGCACCTAGCATCTGGTGGAGACTCGACTGGCAGAGCTGTCTCTCGTGGAGCTGGAGCTCTTGCTTGGCCTCCGTCTCTGTTACTCTCAGCTTTCAGGTGTCTTCAGCTCTTTCTTGTCTAGTTTCAGCTTGCCACCATCTACTGACACCTCACTGCCTCAGGGTGGCCACTTTCTCCAAAGGCCCAACCCAAGGTGGATGAGGCCCATTAGTGGCTTTCAGAGCAGGGACCAAGGCCCTGTCTATTCCAGGAATGAGGAGGCGGGTGCCTTTGGAGCTGTTTTATGCGTGGTACTGGGCCTTGGAGCCCAGCGTCCCTCCTGTGTTTGTGTGCTAGGTGCTCTTTGGGGTAAAACTCAGGTGCCCAACATCCAATATGGTGGTGACCATGGATTTGGGCAAAAATCCAGTGGGTCCCATGTCTCTATGTGCATGGCCCAGTCCTGGGGAGGTATTGGCCGAGGCCATGAATAATTTTTAAATAAACTTTTAACATTTTAGAACTGATTTAACGATACCTTCAGAAGTTCTTATAACTCTTATAACTGATTTCGGGCCATACCTTCCTCTAAGTTTTCCCACCCATGAAACAAATTGATGTGCCTCACTTGGTGGGTGAGGAGACAGGAATGAATGCCGCTGCAAGCAGTAGAAGGATTCACAGTCTCTCTAGGCTCCACACCATAAAGTCCCTGCCGGGCTGCTCTCTCCTCGTGCCAGAGGCCGCAGCACAGAAGGGCACGCAGTGGCGGCCTGGCACGGGCTACACTGGCAGTCTCCAATAGAGGGGTAACCAGGGCAAGCCAGCAGCCCCATTCTGGCCCAGCATAGTGCAGAACTGGTCTCCCTGTCTCGCCAGCCCTTACCGTACTCTCGATGTTCTCAAAGACTTCTCGGGCCTCTTCGTAGGAACACGTCTCCTCCAAACACTCTCTTTCAAGGTTTCCTTTCTTCAGCTCTTCTAGAAACGAATTCGCCCTCCGGGCCCTCTCCAGGACGGTGTGGGCATGCTCCCGGTTGATGAACACTAGAAGAGAGGGAAGGATACAAAGTTGAAAGTTCCTTATCAAACTACCTGCTCTCTCCCCAGCCTGTAGTATCATGTCACCTCTGAGCTGCAAAAGGCTGAAAATTCTTTCTTCATGCACTAAGGCGGCTGGGAAAAAAATGCCCATCTCCCTCACGACTACTCCATGAGTCGCGGTATAAGACACATGTTCTAGATCCACACATCCTTCTCTGGAGAAGTTAACACATCCCACCCAGCCAACTCACCAGCCTCCCTATACATTCACACCCAGCTTTACATGGGCAACCCAAACCGTCTTTCCTGAGCTCTCCCTTCCCAGAGTGGTTCCAGGTCACACTCACCCTCCTCCCCAGGCTACTCCATTCTGTGCTTTGGCTCAGCATGTACCCCTCCACTCCCAGCCCCACGCTGAATCCCACCCACTCTGCAAGGTCTCAGCTGAGTTAAGTGGGGAGTTATGATACTGTTTTTTTTAAATTAAGTTTATTGGGTAATATTGGTTAATACAATTATGTAATTTTCAGGTGTATATTATCATTCGACATCTGTATATTCTATTGTGTGTTTACCACCCGAAGTCCAGTTTCCTTAAGCTACCATATATTTGATACCCTTTATCCACTTCACCCTCCCCCTAAACCCTATATTTGACCTCCTTTACCCCATCTACCTCCCCGCTCCTCCTCCACCTCACTAGTAACCACTAGTCTATAGTCCTCTGGTAACCACTAGCCTTTAGTCCATGTCCATGAGTCTCTGTCTGTTCGTTTGTCCTGCTCATGTGTTGCTTTTAGGTTTATATCCCACATATAAGTGATATCATGTGATTATCTCGAGGTCCATCCATGTCGATCATGATCCACAATTAAAAGTATGATTTATGTAAAGTCCCAGGACACACATTAACACAATTAAAACATAAGTTTTAAGAAATAGTACTTACTACTATTTTCTACAAAATAGTACTTACTACGAAATTTTCTACTTGATTCTGTTCTATTTCACTGAAAAACCTACTAAATTGATTCCATGATTCACAAACGAGTCATGACCTGTCTGTTAAAATGCCTCGAGTCGGGGAATCTCTGGATCCTCCCTCTGGTGTGTGTCTACGGTGGAGTTGCTCCCGTTTCACCAGCAGAGTCTTCTCTCTCTTTCTCTCACTCCTTTACTTTTTTCACTGTGATACAGGAGAGTTTCAGAGGCTTTTCAAAATCATCCTCTGCTCTAGCTTCTCTTTTTTTCCACTGAAGAATTTAGAGATTTAGAGTCTCACCGTAATAAAAACTCTCCAAGTTGCTATTTCTAGTCTCCACCTTCCTCCTGAGCTCTCTGTTTTCAGCTCTCTCGCCATGATGGATGTCTCCCCTCATCTCAGAACTCCAAACTCCCTATGTTCAAAACTAAAAAACAGGACTGCAGAATCGAGAGGCCTGGAGTTTCAAATATATCTTGGTCGCTTATTACTTAATATTAGCAAATGGGAATTACAGTACATACCTACTTCTTAGAATTATTTTAAAGAATGTATATTACTCCTAGTGTCCAGTTTGGTACACGTTAGATGCTCATTAAAGGTTAGCTTCCTTCCTACCTCACATTACTTTTCCTTCCAAATTCCCTGTTTACTATCCCAACAATGCCAGGCTCACATTTGTTATTTGACCCCCCTCCCGCTACTACTCCAAGTATCTGCTCCACTACCAAGAGCTTGCTTTGGAACACAGCCTACACATTGGTTTCTTCCCTGATATGTTTTTTTTTTTTTCTCTCTTCTTCACTTTTCACCACTTTCTCATCTCCCATAACACCTGTCTGGGTCCCCTCCGTCTGCTCCTCATTGTTCCTGTCCTTGCACTTGATTCAGGGTGCAGACAAGCCCGAGGGTCCCCCCAGGGGTGATGCCACCTCTGCTCTCCCCTCTGGCTTTGCTCTGCTTCTCCTTTTCCTGAGCCTTTTCTATTTAGACAGACCCCAGGGTCCTGGAAGGTACAGAGATCCCTGTCTGTCCAGCCTCGAGTTGGTCAGCACCTTCTCCTGGCTGAGCCAGCCTGCGGATGGCGACACTGGCTTCTCTCTCATTCTCTTCCCTCCCTTGTGACCCCCTTGCAGGCCTCTCCCCACAGCTCAGTTTGGCAGGAGGGGGAACTTCTCTGTCTCTGCCTGCCACCTCCCTCTTCTCTTCCTCTCTCTCCATCTCCTTCCCTGTCTGTCTTCTGTCTGTTTCTCTCTCTGTCTCTCTCTCTTTCTCTCTGTGTCTGTCTCTTTCTCTATCTTTGTCTATCTCTGTCTCTCTGTCTCCCCCTTTCTCTGTCTATGTGTTTCTATCTATCTTTGTGACCTCTAACCCACGGTCTGACTCTCCACCCACAGGGTGGCATGCCTGGCCCTAAGCTATCTTTGGCCGAGACCACCAAGCCTAGCTGTCTCATGCCAGCCTTTGACATAGGAAGGGCACCCACCATCCAGGTTCAAGGGCATTATCCCAACTCCCTACACTCCCTCCTCCTCCCTGGGGGCCACCTCTGCGGTCTGTAGGTCAAGGGGTGCTTACCACTTCCCCCTGGCACTAGGAGGCCAGCCAGGGAGGCGCTGAGCAGGATGAGGAACAGCAGGCCTGCCATGGTGGGGCCTAGGACAGCGTCTCTGTCCCAGCTGTGACAGGCCTCTGGGGCAAGGTTCACTCACCCTGGCTTCAGGGTGGCTGATTGTCCTTCTGCTTATCACAGCCTCCTGATTGGAGCCTGAGACTGCTGGAGGTGGGGGGCAGGGGCAAGTGACTGCACTGGTGCATTGTCACCTGGCCTGTGCACCCCTGGGGAGGTCCCTGTCTAACCTCGTTCTTGTCAGTAATTATATCCAGGGGAACCTGCTGCGGGTATAGGAACTTTTTGTTCTAAGAGAGTAAAAATATCATTTTATTTCAGATGTTTATCCTTACTACTGTGATAAAAGCTAAGTATCATTTTCCCCATCTTTTTTCCAGAACAGAAAACTGGTGAAATGTCTGTGGTACATGTAGGATTTTCCTGCCTTTCCGTTGTTCTGAAATGTTCCTTCTGCTCAAGGGCGTCTCTCTCCAGGTGGTATAAGGTGGGGTCTCACAGAGGGTCTGGTGCCTGCGATTCACCTGCATGTCAGGCTTGTACCTCCCACTCCTAAAATTCAGGGGCTCCGGGATCCTTCTATGCTATATGGTTCGTTGTACACAGGCTCCCACACATACTTTTGGGAGGATACCCCTTGCCCAACGTGCCTGGAGGGGACTGCTCTGTTGGAATTCCTACGCGATCTGCTGACCATGGGGCAAGTTGGCTGAGGTTGAGAAGGGCTGTGCCAGGAGCTGCTGCTGTATATGTCGTGGAGGTGCACGGCTTTTCCTGACAACAGCTTTGCCACGCATACCTTATTGTGAGCCAGGTGGGGGTGGAGAGGAGGATGAGCCCAGAGTCAGAGGCCTCACAGTGAAGTCCATTGTCCTTATGCAAAGCTCAGTACGAGCCATCTGGGAGAGAACATGCAGGGTGGCACGGTGCCTGCGGACCTGGAGTGGAGGGGGCTTCATTATCCAGCCCCTCCATTATGGTTCCCACTCCTTACTCCTCTTGTACAGGACCAGGAAACGTGGAGGGCATTGTTTCCAGGAAACCCTGGAGTCTCGCTGTTTGGCTTACATCCCGGGGAGATTCCAGAACTCAGGGTTGTGTCTCCTGACAACAAATGATAGGCACCAGGGAAGGGCAAGTCATCTCAGGTCAGTGGAAGCAGCCCGCACTCTTGGTGGCCAGGCCAGTAAGGGAAGTATGCGTGCCACACAGTGGGTACACACCAGGTGCCATGTGCTCTCCCAGCCCAGAAACTTCCCTGGGGCATCAGGCTCTGGAGGAAAAGGCTTGGGAACTGGCTGGTGAGGTGAATGCTTTGCTGAGAGAGACAGAGAAAAGACCCATGGTCACTTGGATATAAGTCTCATTACTTAGCTTGTTCATTGCTCTGTCTCCAGCACCTAGAGGGGTGTCTGGCACATAGTATATACTCATTGACCAACAGCTGGAGTGAATCTGTGTGGTCCCAAACGCTCCTGCTCTGGGCTCCGAGGCCAGGTTGGTCTTTATTGGGGTGGTCACTGTGATGTGCAGAGCTCGATCCTTAGAGACAACCTGCAGTTGGTGACCTAGGCCTGTCTTGCCTGGTCAATTTGTACTGTGATGTTGTCACTGAGCACATTCAGAATGTGGGGGAGGCTGGATTCTGTGTGAGTCCCTTCCTGTCCCAGGAAGGGAAATGGTCAAAGCTCTACTCATAGAAAGATGGACATAATCTCTAACAGTTAGTGTATCTGCACATCAAGTGTTAGCCTTCGGGGGTTATCCCGATGTCATCTGGCGCTCGTGCTTATGACAGCCCTGTGACAGCCCTGTGATGCAGGGGCCTGTGTCACCCATTAATGGCTGGGGAAACCGAGGCAGAACCAGTGACTCACCAGGACCCTGTTTAACTCCAGGTGGCTCTGGAGAGGCTCCTGGCCTGGCCCCTGTGGTTCCATTGCCCCTTGTCTTCCCATGAAGAGAGTCCAGACAGCTTTTATTCATTTCTAGGAAGAAACAATAGACTTGCTGGGTTCAGGGCCTTCCGAGATCTCTCACAGTTTGGTTGCAGAAATTCCATAAGTGTCTGTAGCCTGAGCTATTAAGTTGAAGGACATCGGGGTATTTGCAAATCAGCTATACCCCACCCTCCTCCACCCCTGACCTATGGATGTTGCTGTTTCCCCTTAAGAACTGGATCTCTGAAGGCGGGGTGTCTCCTCCCACACGCTCGTGGCATGCACCCGGGGCCTAGTGCACCTGGGACTTGAACTCAGGACCTTCTGCATGTAAAGCAGACGTGCTAACCACTACACAATGGAGCCACCCCCAGCTATACTGTTCTTGACGACATAATTGAGTCCTTCCAGATGCCTCCTTTCACGTAAACTGGTTTCATCCTCATGGCAAGCATCGAGGTGGGCTTCCATTGTACAGATGAGAGAACAAGGCACAGAGAATATAAGCAGCCTGGCCAAGAGTAAGAGTCAGAGCCAGACTGACTCCAGGAGGTCTGGCCCTATGTCAGGTCTCTTAAAATGCACATCCAATTGCTTGGTGAGATCCCTACAAATTACAGCATGACCAGGGCAGCAAACCTTTTCTGTAAAGGCCCAGTCATGAATATGGTAGGTCTGTGGGTCAGATGGTCTCTGTCACAACTACCTAGTGCTGCAGTTTTAAGCAGCCACGAATGATGAGTAAAGGAACGGGTGTGTTCTTATAAAACTTTATTTACGAAAATAGGTGGCTTGGACTTAGCACCAGCCATAATTTGCAGACCTTGGTCTACTCTATACTAAATATGGCTTGACTGTTCAGCAGAGCAAGTCCCGGCCCCCTGACTCACATGTGTTAAGCACTGTTGGTGTGCCAGGCACTAGACGGCCCAGTGGCTGTCCTCCAGTCGTGTCCCAAGTGGCGGGCACCTGCTGGCTTTGCTCCATCCACCTTTGCCAGGTAGGACCCACTTGAACTTTGATCTTTTGTTTCATTCTTACCCACCTGAGACCTATGTGACCCTACTGTTACTGGGCCCACAATCACCTGAGGAGCTTGCTAAAAATGTAACTCACCTGGTCCTACACCCCTTGGATCCTGCTGGTGGATCCTGGGCCCAGGAACATGTATTTCCTGGATCATCCCTGGTGGTTCTCAGTCAGGCGTTCCCTGGGCCTCTCTATGAGGACTGTCATTGACTAGGGCCTTGGCAGGAAGAGAACACTCAGTTCTATAGGGCTTTGGGAACTACAGCCTTCAAAATCCATCAGAGACCTCTTGGTTTTAAAAATCAGCCTCCCTGTAAAAAGGTTCATTTTAGTGACGTTGGTAATTGTGAAAGAAAAGACCAGCTTGAAGACAAACACCAGGGTCTCAATGAAATGGATGTAGACAATCCATGAATAGCAGGAAGCTGGAAAAAATGCACTGAGGAGGTTCAGCTGTTTGTTGTTCACGGGGAGAACAGGTGGCATACGGTATGGAGAGCGTGTTATGTAGCCCTTTTTATGGTGAAAGATACAAATACAGAACAAATATAAAAGGATATCCTTCCAATTGAATGATGCTTCTAATTTACTTGAAATGAAATACTTGCATAAGAAAGAAAAAAATGAAAGTTAAAAGACAGCCCCAAGAAAGTGGCCCGTGACACTGGGTGAACACACACACACGCACGCTGCCACTGTGCGGGCAGAGAGATGCAACGGAAAGGTGCAGGTGAGGCTGGTCACTTCTCCACTTCTGCCCGGGCAGGGCCTCCTGTCTCTTTCGTCCACTGCCCTGTGTCTCTCATCTTGCTATTTTCCTCTCAGTCTGTTTCTTTGAATCTCCGAGTCTCTTTCTCTTTCCATCTCCTCAGAATCTCTCCCCTCAGTTTCTCTCTGTCTCTCGATTTCTCTCTCCTCTTGGCCTTTTTCTAGTCTTTTCTCCATCTTCCAGTCTCTCTTCATCCCTCATTCTCTTTACGTTCTTTCTCTTGGACTCTTCTTCTTTTACTCTATCTTTCCTTCTCTGTCTCTCCCCGTATTTCTGTCTCTATCCCTCCCTCTCTCTCTCTCTCCCCACCCCAAGAATAGCAGGAGGATTTATGGGTTTGTTGACAGGACAGCCGAAGCAGCAGCAGCAGCTTTATTTTGCAAGAGCAGGGTCCATGGAGCTGACACTGAAGTGCTAGGGAAATGGGGCGCGGAGGAGGCCTTCTGAGTGCTCTTTCGAGCTCACGAGCCTGTGGAGCCACTCAGTGTACTGGGAGACCCTGGTGTACACCCCAAAGTGACCTACAGCTGCACAGCCCACACCCCAGCTGACGACACCCGTCAGGTACCATGTGCCTTGGAACTTGGTAGCATGTGGACCCCCGCTGTCCCCCTTGCAGGCATCCTTGCTCCCATCCAGGTAGCCAGCACAGAACATGTTCTCTGTGATCTTTGGGGAGGTTTGCTCCCTGGTCGACTGCTCCAGGCAGTCCTGGGTCATTAGCCTGGGCACGTCGATGGCCATGAGCTGGAGGGCCGTGGCGCCCCTTTCAAGGAGCTGACCCCAGCCGCTGATGAAAGAGAAGCGGATGGAGGCCAGTGTCCTCTCGGAGAAGGCCTTCTCTGGCAGGCAGAGGGGCACCACATAGTCTGTGAAGACCACAGGCCTGCTCAGGCGGAGCAGGGCGATGTCGTGGTTTGTCTTGCCTGTGATGTACTTGTTGGGGACAATGACCTGAGCAACTTGCCGTTCCTGCTCGTCGCCATCCTCCTCACTCAGGTCGTGCTCACCTGTGGGGAAACCAGCACCGCTCATGCCCCTTGCCCTGCAGGCTTAGGGTATAACCCTTCCCGAACCTCAAGAAGGTCAGAGCGTCCTTTGGGGTATGAGGGGCCCTGAGTCCAACTCCACGCTGGCCTGCATAGCCGGCCTTTCCAGGTGGCTACCAATGGGCTATGCGTAGAGTGTGAATCTGGAATCTGAGGTGCCGAAGGCACATGAGGAGGGGTGCTGGGCCAGGCAGCTGTGGGTTGGTGGGGAGGACTGCCCGATTCCCCTGCTTCTTTCCTCAGGGGTCCTTGTCATCCCATAAATCCACCAAGCAGAGGCCCACCCATGGTGGCAAATGGAGTCCTGGGTCGCTGCATCCTCCTCAGGGCTTTTGGCCCAAGTGAGACAGGCGGATACAGCATCACCGCCCCTCCCCCCGCCACCATGTCTTAGGTGTGGGAAAGAGGATAAGGGGGATGGTGGCCACGGTGGCTCCCTGTGAACACTGGGGTTTGTCGAGATGCTGCCCACTTCTCTTTTTGGAGAAGTTCATCTGGGTGGAGCTTGGTGTTCAATGCCTTGAATCTCAGCTCCGAGTTCTTATCACACAAGAACCATTCTCTCATCAGAAGGAAGGAGAATGAAACCTACCCACTACTGCTGTCAGATTCTTAAAACTCTTGATTCTGTCGAAACAGTGGGCTGCGGAGACCACCCAGGTGGTGTCGATCAGGGTACCCCCACACAACAGCACCCCGTTCAGCTTCAGAGCAACCTGACAAGGGCACAGCACAATTGGAAAATCACATTATTATTCTTAGGGTACCCTTCCTTGGAGATTCATCTTTCCCCTATATCCTTGGGGATGGGCTGCATTTATAGGATGGTTTCTGAAATCCTGGGACCAGGGAGTGCGCTCTGGGAGGCCATGCTGCCGCAGTTGCCCCCAGCAAGCCCACCTGAGTGGATCCCCTGTAAATGTACGGGAACCCATGTCCACCAGCCATGCCTCTACCTCAGAGAGACTTCGCCACCCAATTGTGGTGGACTCTAGTGAACACATCTGTCCTATTTGGATGTATCTAGCTCTGATTATTCTCTGAACACCAAAAACTGGGGTTCCACAAAGCTTAGAAGAGGGCCCTGAATTGCAAAGGCACCACCCAGGCCCCAACTGCTGTGGGAGGTTGCGGTGGGAGAAGGGAGAGGCTGGGTGGGAGCAGGGCTGCCGGATCAGCAAGAAGTATAACTTCTTCTGAGTCTGGTCTGGAAGGGGTCAGATGGCCACTGCACGAGAGAATTGCAGCTGCCCTGAGCCCAGGGTCAGGCTAAGGATGATCGCAATTCTCCAATTTCCCTTTCAAGGTTCTCATACTTTTATTTCTAAAAATTCTTAACTGTTCAACTTGGGGTGTCCCGGAATGAAGGGTTAGACAGGAGTCAGTGATTCGGGCTCAGACCTGAGTTTGCAGGTCTCTCACACTTGAGTGTGCATACACCCCCGGGCTCCCGTGAAGTATAGATGCTGACCCACTGGGTCCAGGGGCCTGAGACTCTGCATTTCCAACCAGGACCAGGCTCATAGGCAGCTTGGAAGAGAGACTTCATGGAGGAGCTACGGCCCACAGACCTGGCCACATGTAAGGGACAGCCTCCGGGCCTGTGGGAGGACTTTTTTACGGATCAAGGATCATACTGTATGATCTCACTTATATGTGGAATCTAAGAAAAACATAATAAACGAATAAATGAATAAACAAAACAGAAACAAACCCATAGATATAGAGAACAAGCTGATGGTTGCCAGAGGGGAGCCTGAGTAGGGGGATAGTAATTAAAAAAAACAAAAAACAAACCACAATATGTAAGGGACAGCCTCCGGGCCTGTGGGAGGACTTTTTTACGGATCAAGGATCATACTGTATGATCTCACTTATATGTGGAATCTAAGAAAAACATAATAAACGAATAAATGAATAAACAAAACAGAAACAAACCCATAGATATAGAGAACAAGCTGATGGTTGCCAGAGGGGAGCCTGAGTAGGGGGATAGTAATTAAAAAAAAACAAAAAACCAACCACAATATCTGGCATACAAAAAAAAAAAAAAAGCTTCCAGAGGCAGATAGTAGATGGAGCCTTGACAGTGACAGAGCTGGGTCCAAATCCTGCCTCATCTGTAAAAAAGGAGTAAGATTAACAGTCTGTGAAAAAGCAGTGTGAGGAAGACAAGTAAGCAGACGGAAGTGCTGCTGGGAGCACTGAAATCTGAGCTGAATGGAGGCTGTTGTCTACAACAGGCCTTCAGAATGAAGAGGAATCCACCGAAGCACTGCCATGAGCAGCGGTGACTTGGGGCGTGGGGTGTCCTGTGGCTGACCTGCCCACTTTCCCTTTGAGGTCATGAGTGACCCTGGGGCCCTGAAGCCTTACCTGCCAGGGACATTCCCCTTTGGGGCACACCTTGCCACCTATAATTCGGCCTTGGGGTTGGCTGTCATTTCTTTTTTCCAGAACAGGAATTTTCCCACATGGATAGTCAACTGTATAAAACAAAAGTCAGCAAGACGTGGGGATTTATGACACGCGGACAATTAATGAGAAGAGGGCTCTGAGCCTTGCAGGTGGTGGCTCTGCCTCTGGTTCTTGCTCTGGGCTGTGGGAGGCCTCGGGGTGTAAGGAAGCACCTGTGGGAGCTGCTGGGTGAGTAGATGGGGCAGGGGCTGGTTTTGCAGGAGCAGAGGACCCAACTTCTTGAAACTGGGTTCTGCTCATTTTTCCAGGGGGAAGAAGTGCCGCTTAATTTCCTGAAGAGGAATGATATTCCATCTAAAGGTTTACCAGCCTCTCAAGACAATTGTGCTGCTATTTTAACCCCACTCTTGGTTTTTCGTCTGCTCCAACAAAGTCCTTGGGCCAGAAAAAGAAAGCATTCAGAGGTGGTAACTGAATTTCAGGATGTTTTGACCTGGCTGGGTATATTTACTCCTGAAGAGGCACAGGGTTTTGAGTGCCCCGGCCTTTGGAATTGCAGCCCCATTAGTTTGAGGTTGGTTTGGAGAAATTTTCCATTTTTCTAAAAGTGTTTGCAAAAAAAAAAAAAAAATGGTTTTGAATCCAGAAAGCTATGGTCAATATAGACACTGAGTGTGGCAGGGTAAATTCCTGGCAAAGGGAACTGGATGTGGAAGCCTCGTGCTTCTCTTCTGGGCCCACCTAGAATGGGCAGGGGGCCTGAGGCCAGACCAGGGAGCTGCCCCAGGCTCTGTCTTATCCACTGGTCCCCTGTCCTGTTCTTGGCGGGGAAGCCGCCTCTGCCCTCAGTCTCCTCCCTGCTTCTGAACATGTAGTGGTCGGCATGTAATAGATGCTCAGTTAATTGCCACCCCTCCTCATTTTCTAGCCAAGAAGGAAACCTGTGGCATGGCAAGAATTAGTAAATGCTCATCCGGAAGTGAAACGGCACACAGCCCCTGGAGCAGGTCCCCGAGAACCTGTTACCTGTGGGTGCACAGGACACCTCGTCAGCCTGGAGTGTGTACCCCTTGTGACACCAGCAGGAGCGCTTGGCCTCCACATGGTTGCTACAGTACTGCTCACAGCCTCCGTTCTCATTCTCACAGATCAGCTGGTTATTCTTGTCTGAGGACAGAGAGAGACAGCCTGAGAGGGGCCTCTGCTGGTCAAGGAGAGTGAGCTTCGTGGCCACCCCTCCCTGGGCCAGGGCCACTGTTCTGCATAAAGGTGGCACTCAGCTGCCAACTACAGAGGCTGGGCCTGGCACCACCCCACTCTGCAGATTGATCCAGAAAGGCAGGACCTGGTTTTTGGGTGCTCGGCCATGTCTGAACAGCCTAGCCAGTCGGGACACAGGGCCAGCCAGCATGCAGTGGCTTCCATGCTATTACCCCTCCCAGTAGCTGGTGGGGAGCTGAGGATGGCCATGGGAAAGCAAAAGTTCCCTGGGGGGCAGCAGAAAAGTCCAGCTCAATCAGAGACCTGACACTGAGAGACCAGGGAGATGAGACTGCTCTACAATCAGGCTCCGGTGCTCCATGACTTGGTCTAGGCCAACCACTGATTTGGACAGATAGAGACAAGGAACCTTCAAGCTGACTAAAAGACAGCGCTTTGGTGTGGGAAACAGGATTGGTTTGCTGTATAAGTCCATGACCCCCAGTGAGAAGGCCAGTCCTGGAAGTGAATTTACACCAGGGCTGCTGAGCATCAAAGGCTGGGAAAAAGCACGGAGGCTTTCTAGCCTCAGATAACTGGCAGGAAGCCTCTTTCCTAAGTCTTTACTCTATCTGGCCTCTGTTCTGCTTAGATCAGAAGTTCGCTGTGGCCCAAAAGAGCTCGTTCAGCATCAGAATGTGAGAAAGGATTAACCTTGCCCTAAGAGAGGACTGGTCTTTGCCCTCAGCTCATAGTATATTAAGTCTACACTATATTAAGTTGGATGCTTTTAATTTAATCTGTCTGAAAAGAGTGTTGTTTCCCTGGGAGCCTTGGGTCACACTGGCTGGCCTAACAATGTGATTTCTGTGGGGCCTTGGGCCATACGGTATCAGCTCAACCTCTGCAGGGTCTGGAGACCGAGGTAAGCCACGTGGGTGGTCAGCCATGTCTGCGTGACTGAGCCCCAATAAAATCTCTGGGCACCGAGGCTCAGGTGTGCTTTCTGGGTTGGTGATACTCCATACGTCTTGTCACACGTCATCTTGGAGATCAAAAGACCGTCCATACAACTGCCCAGGGAAGGGATAACTAGAAGCTCCCACTTGGTCCCTTTGCTGATTTCCATGTGTATCATTTTGCTATAATAAATAGTAACTGTGAGTATATCAGCTTTCAGTGAGTTCTGTGAGTCCTTCCAGCAAATTAATGAACCTGAGGATGATACGAAGGAGCTTTGAACTTTGCAACATTTTAATATATGGAAGGTAAAAACCCCAAACTTGTACCTTTGTAATAGCGAGTAGGGAAGGTCAAGTTTATCCAACTGTCCTGTCTAGTGGGGCATATGGAAGCTGGGTGGTGGTGTAGTGACTCTCACTGGGATATTCTCATAGAATTTCCCAGTGCTGGGAGCTCAAGGGTTTTATATTTCTCAGAAGGCATCAGGGGGCAATCAAGTTTGAGAACTGTCACCTTAGCACCCCAGATTCAAGACTTTCAGGTTGGCAGGGGCCTTCAAGGTTACCTAGACCAACTTCCCACTGGGGCTGAGGCTCAGCCTCATGCCTGACCAGGCCTTGCCCATCAACCTCCCGGGGACCCTGTCTGCAAGCACCTTACTTGTCTCACAGTTCCGGCCCTCAAAATTGTCAGGGCAGAAGCAGATGTAAGACTGTAAATGGTCTTCACAGGAGCCTCCATTCTTGCATGGATTTGAGCTGCATTGGTCCCCATCTGTAGAGTAAGTCAGTGTCAGTAATGCTGAGGAGAAGGGCTGTTGGGTGGGATATAAATGGGCCGTTTACCTACTCACCTTTGTAAGACATCCAGAACTGCTTCTGAGGGAACAAAGAGGAAGCCGCGTGAGACATACGCTCACCAGGAGCAAACGTTTACAGTATCCATGGAATAAACTGATGAACTGGGGTGGGCAGGGGTGGGGCAGGGGTTTCTGGCCTGGGGCCTTTTACAATGGGCTCTGGAAGCGAGACTTCCCTCTGAAGATGAGGTGGGCTCATCTGGGGGAGGAAGGTTTTTCCTAATACCCCACCGCCACGCCATCCCAGACTGTTAAGGCCACCAGAGGTCATGAATTTCCTTCTCCCAAGTCAAAATATCCTAATTTCAGCCCCAGCTCTGCCATCTCTGGGTTGTGAACCTGGGACAAGACACATATGCTTTCTAAGCCCTCTTTTGTTCCTTGGATGATGGGTGATCATTCATGCACATGGGCTGACATGAGGAGAAGGTTAGTAAGGGATATAAAGGCATGTAAAGGTGTACTGTGAACTGCAAAGGTTTCCATCAATAAAATTGATTCTGGAAGAACATTTTGGTCAACTGAACTTTAACTCACGGGGTTGCTGTGAAAATAAAACAAGATGAGAACTGTTGAAACTGCTTTGAAAAACTACCTGGTACACAGCTACAAAGTATGACCATTCTCAACTTGCATGGAAAGTGTCATGTTAGCCTCTGTCTCAGACAGCCCTACTTCCCATTGGGCATGAGGTGTCCTGTGAGTGTGAGCCATATGCCCTGTGAGTATGACGTGAAGCATCCTGTGCTTGTGAGGTGAGTGTGAGGTGTGGTCTTATCTCATCGTAACCTGACCACACTCCTGTTGAAGTATTCCAAGGGATGTGATACACTTAATTACGCCTCTTTTAGAAAATGAAAACAGAAATGAAAGCCACTCTATCCATAGGGCTCAAGGGCAGGTGGAGAAAGCAGTGGTTTCCTAAGCGTTTCCTCACACAAGTTTCCCTCAAAAGGTGCCTATGGGTAGTACCAACGGTGAGCGGCTCACCCAGGCCAGTGTGTCAGACATCTGTTCTGATAGCAGCACCCTTGTGAAACAGGTGCAGTTTTCGGGGACTGGGGGAACATTCCTTGGGAAGGCAAAGGACACATCGAGTGTGCTTTTGAAACTATATTTTCTGATGCAAAGTTTAGGATGCGTGGTGTGGCAGAGAGGAGGATGTGCCTGGAAATGGGAGGTGGTATGGAGCATTGTAGGAGCTCTGACTAAGGAAAGTGAAGCCATTCATAGGAGAAAGCGTCCCAGACAGTGAAGAGCTCTGCCCGCTGAAGCGACCTGTGTGTTCGTTTGTGCATGCGGCTCTCACAACCACAGAGGTAGAGAGACATCGCTTCTAAGACACAGGTGCTACCCCTGCTGTCCCAGAGCGCCCTTCCTGAAGACTCAGCACACTGACCTACACAGTGGGTGGTGCAGAGGGCGCCCCATGGAAGGAGAACTCACCAGTGTCTCATCGTTCTTGAAGATCTCTCTGGCTTCCTCAAAGGAGCACTGCTCCTCCCTGCACTCTCTCTCCAGAGAGCCCGCCCTCAGCTCCTCCAGGAGCCAGTTGGCACGCCTTTGCCTGTGCAAGACCCCTTGGGCTTCCTTCTGGGTAATGAAGACTGAGAAATGGGAGTTCCATGAAGCATTCACAACCTGTCATTCCAAGATGGCACAGAAACCATCCACACTGGTCTCGTCCCCCTCAGCAATAGGAGTCAAAGGGTTCCTATCGACAGGCCTGACTGAATTTGAAATAGGAGTGATTTCTTATGGCTGGTTGGCGATGAAAAACCACACAAACTTTATGTACAAAAATATAGCAATATGTTCATTAAATTATAATTTAACACACTCATACCTTTTGACCTGGTCACTTTACTTCTAGAAATTTATCCTAAGGAGGACTGCACGAAAACCTAGCTATTAGGAAAGCTATTGTTAATAATCATCCGAAATGGCCAGATGATGGTGTTCCATGCGGCCAGGAAACAAAATTCTTAAGAAGATGTGATAATCAGTGAAAAAATAAGATAATAAAATAGTATCTGCTGTATAACACTTTTTTGTAAACAAAAATGTACATGTAAGTAAAGTAATTTATTGAAAGGTATACATAAAAAATTAACTTTGGGAGTTAACAGCTATTCTGTTCCAAAGTGTGTACAAAGTGTGTAACTTCTGTAATCAAAATACGCATCTTCTATGTCCCTGGAACCTAGAACATTTCATCAAGAGTTGAATGAGTGTGCTGGAGGGTAGTACGGTGGAAGAGGGCCCTCTGGGACGTGCATTTGAGAGAGGTCAGGCAGCGGCGAGAGGCTCGGCTTGGGTGGGGGTGAGGTGGGGAGAGGCAAGGGTTGCTGTGATGACCTGGGAAGAGCTGAGAGTGGCCTCACTGAGGGTGGCAGGTGGAGAGGGTCCAGGCATTCCTTGTCTCCATTTAAAGCCCAACAGTCTCATTTGCTGCACATTGGGGTTGTTCTTCCCAGCTCTTTGGAACTCATGTTACTTCCCAGTGTGGTCAGTTCTCTCGTCCCAACTAACTCACTCAAACTCTTTCTATGCTTTGCCACCAACCTCGCTCTCTCCCTTTGAGATCATACTCTTGAAGGAAAATTCTTCACCTTCCACCAAGGTTCTTACATGGACTCTTAAACCCATGATACGCAAAAGCTGCCATGACTCCCATGGGCTCCTCATGGACCTTTCTTGGTGGCAGGAGACCTGCTCATCGCTCTACTTCTCAACAATGCATTCCCCTGACTGCCGAGGCCTGGCCTCCCCCGGGTCCTCCTCCCACATCTCTTCTCACCCGCTCCAGCCTCCTTTGCTGCCGGCATTGAGTATCCTTCTAGTTTTGGCCTTTCTGCTCTAAACACTCTCCGAGCCACCTCACTCCATTTCCGCTTCAGCTCTCCTTCCAAAACCAGAACCCACAACATTTATTTCTACCTAGAAGTGTCTCTGAACCCCAGATGTCTGTGTCCAACTTCCCTGTAGACCGAATAACCCACATTCACAGACAGCACATGTAGGTCCACCTCCGTCCTCTCCGCCCCCGCCGTGCCTGCTCTTCTTGTCAGAGGCACCCGTCTTGGTGAACAGCCCTGCTTGCCTCCTAAGCCAAGATTCTCCGAGACATCTGCCCTCTCGCAGCCAACTCTGCTGCTGCCGCCTTCCGTATCTGCCCCTCTTCTCTCCTCCCTGGTGACGTCAGCTGAACTAAGGAGCTACAACTTCCTCTGGGCCCTTCCTGAGTGCTCGCCTGCTGCCATGGGAGCAGGGCAGCTCCGTGCCTCCTCCGGGCTCTCACAGTGACCCCCGTACTTACTTGCAGATAGCTGGTGTCCCCCCTTTTGCTTAGGAGGAAGGGAGGTAAGTGAGGCTTAGAACTCACCCAAAACCACTCAGGGTAGGGGAGATGGGACCAGTTTGAACACCTTAAATTTGAGGATTCTTTCAGACGCCCAGGCAGACATGGGGACTGAACCCCAGGAGAGGGCTTGGTGATGGAGGCAAGGACGTCAAAGTTGATGACAATTATGCAGAGGCTGAAGTCAAGGGCGTGAAAGGGGCCAGGAAAGCCCTCAGAGCCCTGGTGCTGTCCCATTGCCTGTGACTGTTGCTGTCGGGGACGGTGCAGTGAGCAGTTCTAGCAGTGAGCAGGGTGCGTATGGGGTGAGAAGAGGAAATTAAGAATGGAGCGAAGTGTGGAAACAGTCCCGGAGGAGAGGGCCCTGGTGCTGTCCCATTGCCTGTGACTGGTGCTGTTGGGGACGGTGCAGTGAGCAGGGTGTGTGTGGGGTGAGAAGAGGAAGTCGACAATGGAGCGAAGTGTGGAAACAGTCCCGGAGGAGAGATGAGACAGAGACTGGCTATGAAGAGGCTGAGGCTTCCTGAAAAAACGGCAGGCTATCTGTGCTGTGTCCCTCTGTTCACCAGAAGCTGCTGGTGAGTGAGCCAGGGGGCGCCTCCAGGACAGGGGGGAAGGTTATAAAGTATGAGGAGAGCAGGCAGGAAGGGGACATGGCAGCTCCCAGGCCGCCCAGGCTGAGGGAGACCACATCTTCTTTAAAATTAGAGAGTTTCACCTGTCTGTATTCTGGGGAATCAATCCATCTGGTTTGAAAGAAGTTGAGAGAAAATCAAAGACTGGAGATTTCTGGGAAGGAAGGCGGTTGGGGAGCTCATGTGGGGAGGAGACCCGAGACTAAAGACCATAAAAAGGCCATTTGCTAACCAGAGCTGAATCATCTGCCAGTGAGGATGGCAAATTTGCACTACAAAGCTCTCAGGAAACCAGGGGCAATTCTGATAATAAAGCAACATGCGATTATTGCAAAAAATTTAGAAAAGACGCACTAGAACCAGACAGATAATGAAAGTCACCTGCAATCTATCACTGTTTTCCTCCCCTAAGACAATAGGCAGCACTGACTTTCCCTGGAGCAGGAAATGCTCTCCTTTGGGCACCTGCAGTCATCAGGGCGGGTGACGCCACCCCTCAGATCCCAGGTGGGACTTGAAGGACGACATGACCTGGATTTTAGAGGACAGCGTCAGTACCTTGTTTCCACCACAGCTGCCACTCGATACTGGAAAATCACAATGAGGCTTGCTCGTAAAGTGCGTCCCTCTGTTTCCCCACTCAGGCACTTGAGGGGTGGGGGAGGGGAGGGTGGCCATGCTCACAGCCATGGTGGCGGAGCAGCGCAGCTCAATGTCCCCATGCCATTCCTGGCACTGGCTAACTAGAAGTCCGGGAGAACAGAGTGAGAGAGAGGCACACCGCCACCCCACACCCTTAAGCCCCCCATTCTGTGCTCTTGTCCAACTACACAGGGTGGGTCTGCTCTGAAAGTCTTTGAAAAATAATTCTGCCAAAGCCTGTGCTGTCAACAGCAGTCTTTCCTCCAATGCCTGGCAAGTGCCTGGGCACTATTTGCTTTTTGGAAGGAAAACAGATCACATCGGAGCCAGCAAATGCTCCTGGTAAACCGGAAGGTCCCCTGAAAACGGATGTCCATGACGGTGAACAGAAAAGAAGGCGAGGTTTGGGAGGCCTGGCTGCCAAGCTGGGAGGCCCTCCTCATGGGGTTTAGAGAGAACCACCCCGCCAACATACCTGTAGTCAGAGACCCCTGCAGGCCCAGCAGAAAGCAGAGGAGGGACAGCTCACAAGGCTGGGGAACCATGGTGAGGTCCCGCAGTGTCACTGGTCTGTTGACATTCCAGTCAGGGAGGCGGGCAAAGTTTTCAGCCTCTAAGGCCCAGAGGGATGGGGGAGGGAAACCTTGCTTCCCAAACACTGTGCCAAATGACGTGCTAAAGGGGAAATCAGAGACAGAAAGACAGTGCCTATGTCCAAGAAGCCAGGTCCAGGAATCCAGGCAGAACATGGCCGAGTCTTTGAAGCAGAGGTTCCTTTTCTGAACCGTAGGTGTTCGCGGGGAGGAAGGGGAAGTGGCAGCTCCTGGGCCACCTAGGCTGAGGGAGACCACATCTTTAAAATTAGAGAGTTTTACCTATTTGTATGCATCTCAAATGCAATTTAGAGTTCTGAATCCCTTAGGACTTATGACTGCAAGATGGGAAAACAGAACTAAACTGCAGGTGAAAAACCATAGCCCACGATAATACTGGTGAGAAGAGTGCACATTTTGAGTGTGAACGTTACTGTTTTGAAGAGAGCCGCAGAGGAGACTGGTGGGGCCTGGTTTCTTAGGAGAAGCACCAGGACAAGGAACATCTGCTCCTAGCTGAGGCCGCCACTTGATTTCATTTGTAGGTGGCATCCCCTGTGTTTCTGGCATCCAGGTCTTGTCCCTCTGGGCCTGGGGCACAGCTAGGGCGAACACTTATCTTGGGCTGCTGAACAGGGAAGGTTTTCTCAGGATGCCAGACTTTCCTTGCTGAAATTGGGACCATCCGAGACCCACTGGGATGCTCAGTAACCTTGGCAAGGCTCACATGGGTGTCCAGCTTCCAGAGGTCCTGGGCTCGATCCTCTGGAAATCATATCTTTTCTGTGAATGAGTGGAAAGTGGGGATACCAGCACTGCTCATTTCTAGAAGGATCCCAGCCCTATACCCCAAACGGAAAAATTAGTTCTTAGGAGAGATCATGTTTTATTGATCATCTCTGAAATTTTTAATCATTACTATCGATAACTGCTCAATTGTTTAGGAATTTAATTATATAGGCATTTATTTGTGGAGGAGGGAGGGAGGGGGAGAAGAGACTTTTGCATTTGACTGCTCCTCCCAGCCATAGCCCTTTCTGGGGACATCTTTGTCCTTGTCTTTCTTTGGATTTTCCTCCTTAAAGGTATGACTAAACCTATAAAAGCATCTGAGCCTGCTGTTTTGTTTTTTTAACCGAAAGTCAATTTCTTTATTATTCATCAACCTAAGTATTTTATTTCTTCTTTTTAAATTTCTTATTTTTAAAATTCCTTTGGATTAAAAAAATCTTTTAAAATTCATTTATTTTTAATTCTTTAATGTCACCACATATTTGACCCCTTTTACCTTGTCTACCTCCCCGCCCCGCCCCTGCATTCTGGTAACCACTA